TGCCAGCCAGCCCAGGTGTGCTTGTCCTCCTCCTTCCCAGGCAGAGGCTCTCTCTGCTCCTAAGGATCACTTAGCTCCTTGTCCCAGCCTACTCCTCAGTCTGCCTTGTCTTCCCTCTTCTCCACATTCATCCCAGATTACTCCCTTTCCCAGGTTGTTAGAAAGAATATAAACCCTCCAGACACAGGAAAGCTTCAGCCCATCCAAAGCATCTAGAAAAAGCTATTTCTGGCAGTGCCACTCCAGTCACCCACCCTACTCCAGGTCTAAGCACTGACAGTCACTCAGGTTGTGTCAGCACCAACAGACACAGCAGGTTCACACAGCTCTGCATGTACAGAAATTCTCCATTTCTGGAATTATGCTCCAGCAATTTCTGTTAAGCACATATGTTAGAAGAATTGAAATCTAGGTAAATTTTCACAGCCATTTCTGTAAGAAAAATCCCCCGAGTTTTACATTTGTTTCAAGGCACAAAGGGGCTTAGAATATTTCAGATTCAAAGGCTGCAAGATATTATAATGAAGCATTGGCATCCAACATTTCAGTAGGAAATTGCTATATTTTGACAAACTGAAAGCATTCTCACACAACTAAATATTTGGCAATCCTAGCAGCAAGCAGTTAGTCCTGCTGGACATGTGTGTGCATGGCAGAAAACAGTTTCTGCAACACTGCCATTCAAAATACACAGGAAATAGCATTTTTCCCACCAGCTTTCAAAACAGGAACACCAACTATCTCCTACAACTGCTCAAGTTTTAGATCAATGTTTTGGATAATAAAAAGACAGATAACCAAATAATAATCCTCAGTTAATAGCTGAGGGTTACCCAGAATCCTGGGAAGGGCATGTAAAATTTAACACCTGGCCTGCTAAATTCTGACACTGCACCTCTTCACTACACAGATGCTTCCCTAACTTCATACTCCCAAAATTCTTGCAAATATCACAGCAAAAGAAAATTACTGCTATTACAACTAAACAGTCAAACTATAGCTACCATGAGTAGCAATACTTATCAGAAAATCCTGCTTTCTGCCAAAGCATCTCTACATTTCTAGCACATTCCCAGGACAGCAATCCATCAGAAAACAGTTGGGAAAAAACCAAGTGACTTCTCCATTCCCAGCAAGACAAGCAGCTTCACTGCAGAGGTGATGGGCAGTTCTGGGCTCTGAGGCTCCCAGGACAGCTAGCCCTTCCCAGGTAAGCCAACCTCAGCGGGCTGCACACAAGTCTCAAACTCCAGAGCTAATGTACTTTGGCATGGGAAGCAGGGGCTGCATTCCAGACCATGTGGAGAGGAGAAACTGCCTGATGCAGTTTCATACAGTGAAGCCCAAAATATCTACCACTAGTGAAACATTGAAATTAGAATCCATGAGATTTCAAACAAGTCTGAACAGAGCTCCAGCTCCTGCAAGGAACAATTTAGATCTGCATCAGTTACTTGGGAAGAAGTGACTATTCCTTCATTTGGTCTATCCTATTAAAAAAAAAGTTCAAGGACAAAGAATTCACTGGTCCTAGCTATAGAAACTGGAGATACCAATAAGACTTGCATACTGAAGTTTTAAAATATTTGTTATTTTACCCAGCTAATTATAGTAAGTTTATCTTTATTTAAAGTTGAAAAAATACACACAAAAAGTGCTGTCTGAGGAGTGACTGAAGTGCCTAGGTGACATTTTGTACAATTCAAGTTCTTTTCCATCTATCTTGAGAAGGCTGCACACACATTTTCAACTTTTCAGATGAAAGCTTTTATGCTTGTTTCCAAAACATGATCAACTTCCTTAAGATCTGTATGACATATTCAGTTTAAAGTCTGCAATTTTTTTCAGTGCACTAAGATTATTTGCCAGAAGAGCCTAAAACCTAAAAATAACTGCAGAAATTAAATAGACTTTGAAGTTTAGTGCTGAGTTAAAAAACCTCCAGGATTTTAGTGCCTCGATAACATCCCTTCTTGCAAGCCTAGTAATTTTATATTTAACCTTAAATACTATGCTAATTATTCTGCACAACAATTCAAGTTCTCTTGTTCCAACATCTTCAGGACAGACTTTATGAACTAGCTCTTTTTACTGAATTATCATGTATTTTCCTCATTCAATTAGTAGATTCTTCTTTATCTGTGGCAATTTCTTTATCCAATATATCAACTGCTGCTTGAAAACAAGAAAACAAACTAAAAAACCCACAGAAAATTTTCACTTTGTCACTGTTTGTGGCAGAGGAGAACCATGACTAACAAGAAAAGGGACCAAGCCTCAAACTTGCCTTACTACATATTATTGTATTGCAGAAGGAGGTTGTATTATGAGGTAACAGCAGTTCTCATGAACTACCCTGAACCTTGGCAGCCATGCACTATCACATGTTCTGCAGTGGAGACCACAGACAAACAACAGACCATGAGCAACTGGGACTTAGCACAATAGCTAATAATGATTTACTTGTGATATCTTGGAGGTAATAGTATCCAGCAATCTAATTCACTGGCAGAAAAATCAAGAGTTTTTCCTTCTTTCACCATGCCCAGAGAGGGGTTACACAGTGCTGAGGCACTGCAGTGCAAAACCAACAGAGTCAAACACAAACATTTCCCCTCACCCATGTTTCCCTCTCAGTTTTACTGATATGCCAATATGCCACATTGAAGAACTCTAACAGGCCATTAAAAGCTGTACAGTAAGAAATCCTCAATTTTGAACTCTCCTGCTTTTGAGAATGGAGGCTATATTGAAACATCTCCCTGTGACAGAGACAATTAAAAAATAATGAAGGTAAAGTGGATTAAATCTGTGTATGTACATACATAAACACAGCAGCAGAGAGAACACGAAATACCTCTGCTTTCATTATGTGATATGTAAATGCCAATGCACAGCTGCTTTTTTTTGGACATACAGCAGATTCTATGAATTCTATTAGAATACATCTGAATGCACCAAGTGATTTTGCTCAGTTGCCTACTCAATGGGGACAAAGAGAGCATTATCTGCAGGTGACAAGAGGGACAGTATGAAAGCTGGGGCAGTAGGGATGTCGTTCATTAAGGGAAGAACTAAAGAATTCATTAAGGTGCACTGTGAGGCAGGCAGCCTTGTAAGTATTCTCTGATGTGCCAATAATGTCATAACAAATACCTAAGTAAACTAATTAAGCAGTTTTCCCTCACATTAACATTGGTTTTAGTGTCATTCAAGCTGTGGTCATTTACAATTTCAGAAACATCCTTGATCCCCTCTACAAATCACACAAGCCTGGTACCTAAACACTGTTCTGAGGGTGTCTCCACATTCCCCAACAACTTAGAGCAACATTCTAGCAAGAACACTGGAAACCAAAGCAGTTTGTCTTGGTAACACAACATAGTTATTTACCTTAATAGTGTGACAGGCAGCCACTCTTCTAGGAAGATTCTATACTACTACATATCGTTCATTTTCCAGGCAATTTTTAAAATACATTTTTAAGACTGGTGAGCCCCACATTTAAACTCATATTGTCAAAGTAATCTACCAAATCATTTCCTCCACCAGCAGCATGAAGACAGTGTATTGTGACACCTCATACATATTTAATAATAGCCTGATAGGCTGTCATTAACATCAAACAGCAATCTAAGTTTGCTACATTAAACATGATCCCTGTGTTAAGAGGACAATCACAAAGTGCCTCCAAGATCGAGCCTGTAAGAAATACCCACCGACTTGAACAAGGTGTAATGAGGCCAACTGCACTGAAAAAGCCACACATTGGATTTAAAATTAAATAATAAAAAAAAGCAAGGGAAAAAAGAAAAAGCTTCAATGGGTCATAAGACCAGACATGCCATAAGGCAATCTGTCACAGAGTACTCATATTAGTAACTGTTGTGTCAAAACTGAACATTCAAAAGAAAAGACAAACCTTCCTTTATGTTTTATGAAATGTAAGCCCACAGAATTATTAATTCATGAGATGAAGAAAAATATCACATTTGGCTATAAATATTAACAGATGCTGTCAACCTGCTTAGAACTAAATTTTGACTGTCCTACCTCACAATTATCAATTTAGAAAGGAATATTCTTCAAAAGCTCAAAAAAAAAATCAGCATGAAAGTCATTAATGAAGAAATTAACATTCTCTATTCACGTAGGTCCCAAGCAAAACAGCCCAACTGTGTTCTGTGCCTGGTGCTGCTGAGTGAACACTAATGGACTGGCATTGTTTGTGCCCACAGTGGTGCTGTGCTGTGTTGACAGCAATAATGCTGGTGTGCACACAAGGAAAAATGCTGAAAGGACATACTATACCCAAGACACAGTGGAAAAGGAAAGGGAACAAGAGGAAGTAGTTGTCAAATGACAAAGAAATTTAAAAAGGCAGTTAAAACTTCACAGAAGTTTCAGAACACAGAATTTTATACAATGGGTCTTGGATAAATTTTACTGATTAGCTAAACAGGCATTTAAATATTTAAAAAAAGCTGAAAACAACCCATAATGCACAACCACATATCAGTAAACTCACTTCATGCCATCTCAAAGAAATATGGAATACATTTTTAGCAGTTCAAGATCTAGAAGACACTTCTGCTGTATGGTCACAGTTCTCTGCTTTCTCACTGCTATTACTGAGAACAGAATACTGGAGCACAAAACAGAATTGGGCCAAAATATCCAGAATGTCATTAAAATGGATTGTTCTAAATGGTGACAGTGCTTTTCCTTACAGGCTTTTTCTTCTTCTCCCCAGCACTAATATAACTTCAGTCTACTTATGGCCCCATCTGCACTTACATTCTGAGCAAAGTGTTAAAAATACTTACATAAGCCTCAATATTGGCATACACTAAAAAAAAACAAAAGATCAGGCTAAACACCTTACTTTTCTCAGATCCTGACATTTTTATTGCATTTCACCCAGCGATGATCACACGGAATGAAAAGTCAAAGCTGAACATTACAAGCTCTTCATTTTTAAAAAAAAAGATAATCCCTACCTTTATCATTCTAGAGAGATCTCCAGCATCTGCTAATTCCAACACTATGTTCAGTTCATTGTCTTCAATGAATGAGGCATAATATTTAATTACATTTGGATGATTCAGTTGCTAAGAAAGCAAAATAGTAATTACATTTTAGTGTAGAGCACACCACATTTTAAGACTAACATAAGAAACATTCTTATTTAAGCAAACAAAACAACCCCTAAAATCTATTTCACTATGATACAAATTAGAAAAGTATATGCTGATAAGAAGCATTTACAAATATTCTGCAAGAACAAGATGGCATTTTAGGATCTACATGGTGACTGACACTGCAGTTTTAGAGGACTTTTGCTTCAATGTATATATCCAATAGCATGCTAAACTTATCTGGAACAGTGAAGCCGATTTCTGAAGAAAACAGCAAAATCAGTTTCTGAAGTCAGGATTTTACTGTACAAAGGACACAATATTTTAATTTTGGCAAAAACTTTTATTAGAAGCGTTACTCATTATTCTATCAGATTACTTATCAATATTAATTTCTAAAGTAATAAAGATCACAAAATTCTTCAAAGTGAGGCATTTAAAAACTCTAAGCAAAAAACAGTGGACACCTCAATTATGTCTATGAAAAACATACCACATTTTTTGATGACAGTTGCACATTTTCTAAACAAATCTTTTACCTTAAGAAGATCTATTTCTTTGATGCAGTCAGCACGGGCTTTGGCATCCATTAAATCAAATATCTGTGCACAAAAGATAAAACATTTTTATTAAGTGATAAAAATATAGTAAATTGAGTAATCATTATCATTATTTCATAGCATCCATAAAGCAACCTGAATTATGCATTTCATGGCAAGATGTAATATCACAGTAAGAAATATTTCTAATGCTCTGATGCACTGATTTACTGCTGTGGCCATTCTTTTAGCCCCCTCATAGGGAACAAGTCCATTTTAAGTACAAGCTTTCCAATGACTTAATCGCCACCTCTACATATCTGTTCCAACACACAATAATTTAGCACACCTTATACATGCTTCAAATCTCAGGCTCCTACCCCATTCTGCCACACCTTTTTCACAAACTGATTCCTCAGTACTGAGCATACCTTTTTACCCCTTAGTCTTGCTACAGTCTTCCATTTCAATTCTAAAAAATGCGTATTATTTTACTCTCAGGATCAGAACTTCATTGTCACCTCCAACTCCTTCTCCCCATTTCCTTCCCTTCAGCCAGCAAAGAGAAGTGACTTGGGTTATGCTATCTGTATTAGAGCCCTTTTTTCTAAGCCCTTATCTGTCACCTTGATTTTATAGGCTTTTACAGTTAGACATCTTTGCTCTTCGTTTTTCCCCCCACCTCATATCTACTCCAGATTATTTTGCAATGTGTCTCATTTTTGCCTTCTCCAGTCAGCCCGGAGAATTAGAATTACTCTTCACTAATTTCACTTTTTGTTTGAAGTACTTTTTCCCGCCATTAGAGTCTTTGTCCAAATTCTACACATCTATATTTAATGTAATGTCTGTTTTCACTCCCTTTTTCACCACCTCTGGGTTTTCACTCCACTAATGTGCATCTCCATACACTGACTCCCTCAAAAATGACCAAAATGCTACTTCCTCTGAGAATCCTTCCTCTCTCATTTGTGATTACTTTGTGATTTAACAAAACAAAAATCTCCAACTTCTTTGTGGTCTGCAAATTACATTTGAACTATCCAGAAGAATCAGACACCCTCAGCTTTATTCATCACCACAACACTTACAAAATCACCTTTTCCAGTTAAAACTGCTCATGCATATCATGTTTCTAGATAGTCACCAAGAAAAGATGTATTCTGTCCTGTGAAGATCACAGGTATCAGCTCCAAAAGCTCAACAGCTGACAACTTCTATTTAATATCTTGCCACAAACTCCAGAAACCAAAACATGGATTAACAGCAGTGTCAGTACTGAATGTCTATGAAGAGGTCATCTCAAACAGACTGCCTGACTGCTCACACCAACCACACCTTCCTTCCCTCTCCCCAAAGAAGTTCAGGGAGTCTGCAGATGATTCGCTGAACCTCACCTTCATTTTCTACACCACTCTGCACAGTGAGTTTGTCATTCCTTTAATCAACTGAAAGGAGAGGGCTGGAAACCTCATGTATGGAGCACAGACCTCACAGAGCACAGATGTGCCCTTGACTAACCACTACTTCTCTTTACACATCCCATCTTCTGTCCTCAGAGCTGGTATCAGAAATAAGAGTCTGTAGTGGATACCAGACTCACTTTTTGAAGAAGGGAAAGAAAAAGTAATACAAAAAAAAAATTTAAAAATCAAATACCAGACTTGCAGATAGTAAGAAAAGGGGTAGAAGAGAAGAAAGAAGAAGACAAGAAGAAAACAAAACTACTGAACAAGAAAGAAAGGGAATAAGCCACCACACAATTACTTTTATACTAATTCCAGGATGATTGGAAATAAAGAGAGTTAAAAGCAGATATTCAAGCAGGAGACTGGGGGGGACCTAACGAACACATGTTAAATCACAAGAAAGGAATGCTAACACTAAGAAAAATAAAGCAATTTCACATGTAGTAGAAGAAAAGAGTACTATATGTGAAATTACAGGTACAAGTATTAAAAGATAAGTAACACAAATCAAAATAAAAAAGAGCTTATGAGTTCAAGTTGGAAACTTAGGGAAGGAGATGAAATAGCCTGTATCTGTTATAGATCTGCACTTTGAATGTAAAAGCCTTGCTCTTTAATAATTCTAACAACACATGAAAGTGCTAGGGTTTGGTACAGTCATGAAGGAGTCTAATGATTTTCCTAGGAAACATTTTAGTAAAACCTAAATATTACAGGTGCACATTAACTGAGGAAATACTGAGAAGGCATGAAATCAAATATTTTTCCTTATAACCTGAGAGACCAGAAAACGGAAACATTTATACAGCATCTCCCAAAAACAACCAATGAAACTGTACCAGGAAGCAAGGGAAAAAAGGGAACAGGTACAAGGGAGCATCTTGAGGGTTCAATTTTTCTGAGTTCTAGACAACAGTGAGATAAGATCATTCCTTATAAGTGATACAGAGATTCAACTCCAAACACTCTGGAAAACCTAATAAAAACTGGGGACAGAATTCCAGATTAAAAATTGTACACAAACTATCTCTTAGAAAGATTTGGAAAATGACCAGAAACAAAGTTTCAAGATTCAAACCAAATGAGCTTCATTGTGTGACAAACAGGGTAGCTTGCATCTGTTCATGCGTGTTCCAATGTGCCAAGAGGCACACTAATATACCTATTCCAGGAACAACCCCTACACACCTAAACAAACAGGTCTTCCAAGAAAAGCTTTTTTACAAGCTAAGCCTCTGCTAGGGACATAATTCAGTACATCTCATACAGCAATAACAAAACAACAAAAATAAAACCCTAGACCCAGGCCTGTGAAAAGCAGAATCAAGGCACAGGAAAGAAAGACAAAATTTTGTTTGCATATTCTGGATAGTATTCCCAGTACTTCTAATTTGTTATTAAACAGCATGGAATAGACTAGACCAAGCAGCTGCTCTCCCCAGAGGACAGACTTAAGTTTTATAAACATGACTCCCTCTACTTGTGTTGCACTTCATAAGCATCTTTGGAAATTTGTCACAGCTTCAGCTAAACTGAGTATTTCAGAAATTACCTAAATTAAATATAGCAAGGCAGTAAAAAAAAGTCTTATCTGATCCATACAACCACAAATACAGACGATCTTAAGATTTACTGTTTAGCATTCTTGTGGTGCTTAGATTTTGATCCAGATCTAACCTCAAAAGACTATAAATAGCATTTCCCAGAAATCTAGAACTTCAGTTTCATGGACATTAACTTCCTCCACCAAGATATTTTAAAGATAAACAACTAAAAAAAGGTGAAAATATCATTCAATCCATGGCCTCTGAAGAACCTCTGAATCACACCAGATGCAAAAAGCTTTCAGAGATTTTTTTCTCTGAATAGATCATCTTCTCTTTTGCCAAACTGCTGCAGTTCAGACCAGAGGATGCCAGTGTAACAAGCCATGTCAGCTCACACAAGGAGGTTACTGTAAACACAAGGAAAAAACCTCCGTGTTCCTCACCAGCAGATGACTCAACACTGAAGAACGTCTCACCCTGAGAAATGGAAGTGGCAAGGAAGGACTTGAAGAACACCCTTTCTGTGTCAGCACTGCACAGGGCACCTGGCAGCACTGAGGGCTGCTCAGCAGGACAGGCTGCCCTTGGCCTGTGGTGTGCTGCACACTGGCCATCAGTGTAACACTACAGCCATGGGGCAGTTGGTGTGTGCTGCACACTGCCATCAGTGTAACACTGCAGCCATGGGGCAGTTGGTGTGTGCTGCACACTGCCATCAGTGTAACACTGCAGCCATGGGGCAGTTGGTGTGTGCTGCACACTGCCATCAGTGTAACACTGCAGGCATGGGGCAGCTGGTGTGTGCTGCACACTGGCCATCAGTGTAACACTGCAGCCATGGGGCAGCTGGTGTGTGCTGCACACTGGCCATCAGTGTAACACTGCAGCCATGGGGCAGCTGGTGTGTGCTGCACACTGCCATCAGTGTAACACTGCAGGCATGGGGCAGTTGGTGTGTGCTGCACACTGCCATCAGTGTAACACTGCAGCCATGGGGCAGCTGGTGTGTGCTGCACACTGGCCATCAGTGTAACACTGCAGGCATGGGGCAGCTGGTGTGTGCTGCACACTGCCATCAGTGTAACACTGCAGAGATGGGGCAGCTGGGGTGTGCTGCACACTGCCATCAGTGTAACACTGCAGCCATGGGGCAGCTGGTGTGTGCTGCACACTGCCATCAGTGTAACACTGCAGCCATGGGGCAGTTGGTGTGTGCTGCACACTGCCATCAGTGTAACACTGCAGCCATGGGGCAGTTGGTGTGTGCTGCACACTGCCATCAGTGTAACACTGCAGCCATGGGGCAGTTGGTGTGTGCTGCACACTGCCATCAGTGTAACACTGCAGCCATGGGGCAGTTGGGGTGTGCTGCACACTGCCATCAGTGTAACACTGCAGGCATGGGGCAGCTGGTGTGTGCTGCACACTGGCCATCAGTGTAACACTGCAGCCATGGGGCAGCTGGTGTGTGCTGCACACTGCCATCAGTGTAACACTGCAGGCATGGGGCAGTTGGTGTGTGCTGCACACTGCCATCAGTGTAACACTGCAGCCATGGGGCAGCTGGGGTGTGCTGCACACTGCCATCAGTGTAACACTGCAGGCATGGGGCAGCTGGTGTGTGCTGCACACTGCCATCAGTGTAACACTGCAGCCATGGGGCAGCTGGCGTGTGCTGCACACTGCCATCAGTGTAACACTGCAGGGAGGGCAGTACTTTCATCACAACTGGAACACTTCACAGCTTTGCTGGCAGATTAATTCCACCTTCAGCTCCTATGACTCAGCAAGTCCAGCTGAAAGGTCAGCCTTTGCTCAGCATGGGTGTTGCACAGATCTCTCTCTCACACACACAACTTTCACTGCACAGACAATACCCCCAGGGCCATCAGCAGGCCACAGGTCTCACCCACCCCAGACACACACTGCCCAAGGACCTGTAACCTTTTGTCCAGCCCTCCCTGGGACTGCACTCATTTTCTGAGCTTGGTTTTAGCTGTAGCAGCACATGCCCTGCAGCTGAGTGACTTAACTGCAACTAAGTCAT